GTTGGAGAATATGTCATTTAAAAACAATCAACTGGTTTGAAGCACCTGCTGGTTTGTGTACACACACGCTTTGCCTGTATTTCTTGAAGTTCGGAGTGCTTCTTAGTTTATTATAGAAACGCGGAAAGGTTCTCAAATATTTTCCCAGTTAGAAACGAACCATGGCGAAACATCAAAGAGAATGCTGACACATCATTGATCGTTCGTTTTTCGGGTCATGAAATATTTACAGCATCAGTTCAATAGCAGTGACTTTGCAATATCTGTGGTCTTCTTTAGGTAATCCAGGCGGCCAGATGATTTAAATTCACCCAGATAAAAAGAGGTTTTCGTCAACGTTATATATTTGTAGAGCTTAACTTCAGTTCATACTTTTCCTGACCATTACATTTTTTCGTGTCGAACTAGCGTGCAATTATTAAATCGCAAGATTGTTTAAGCAATCACATGGGTTCCTCTCGTAAGTAGTCACGTACGAGGTACCAAATTCTCCAATACTTTCATGTGATTTCAAATAAGGAAATTGTCAATGTTTTTTCAATTTAATTGAGTTTTCAACTGAAATTCTACGACAAATATCAGAACAAAAGATTCGTGTGTACTTCGCGTGCATGGCTACAATACAATAAAACCGAAGTTTACACTAATGTCCCCGTTTTATATCAAAAGGACACTTTAAATTCATGGAAATCCTCGCCACAACAGACTCATAACGAAACCCAGCTCATGAAATGATCAGAACCATCTGGCGATACATCAAGATGGCTGATCTTAATTGCGAGGCTAATGATTATCACGCAACGGATGTTTTAATTACGTGGCCTGTTTTACATGCATACAATCAATTCCTTTCTGCCTAGACACAATGCTTACAAGAGTCAATGAGGCGAGGCGAAATGAACTGTCAGTTCTTTGTAAAGATCGTTGAATTTAAACAACGACCTAAAGAGCTTTTGTTTGTAAGAATGTAAGCTAACAAAAGATGGATTTTGTTAACACTCCACCAATGCTCACATTTTAGCCAAAACAGAACACCGAAAATATCCGCGTTTATTAGATCGGAAGTCGTCTGGAATTGAATATTTGACCCTCCATAGACGTTTTACAGTGGAACCTCGATTTAATATAGACCTCTATATAACGAAGTCCTCGGTGTAACGAACCATTTTCCTGGCGCTAGTTATAGTAAAATATATGGAAAAGAACCTCGATACGACGAAACCTTGTTATAGCGAACATATTCGCTAGTCAGTCCCTCGACCCTTCGTTTATATATCGACGTTCCACTGTACATGTTTATTGATATGAAGAAAGATTTCGTTACGCCTGACAAAACGAAACACAAACAATAAAGATCTAGGAGCATATTTGGAAATAATTTGCAGTCTGTTTCGGACTTTCGGTATTTAAATTGTCTGGAAATGTTTGTTTTCGAACAGATGTTGCGTGAGACTTTTTGAATCATTGTTTAGTTAGTACTTGAAAGAAAAAGAAGAAGAAAAGAGGAAACCACACTAAAATTCGTCCGACAACGTATTTCAACCCAACATGAACTGTGAGTTACGTAACGAAACAACCCCTATTGTTTTAAGCGGCCATTTATTAAACGGCTACCCCTGTTCTCCCTATTAGGCAACCAGTAATCAAAGTCCCGATGAGGGCTTTTCTATTGTTTTGACCATTTCCCCAAGGGTGGTCGTTTAATTGGGGTTGAACTGTAGAACGAATTTAAATCTCTTCGGCGTGTGGTTTAGTGTTATTAAATTAATCTGGTGGCAAGGAACTCAGCTCGAAGGATATTTCACGCTTCACGAAAATTTGCACGAACAAGAAACCCTACTTGATTTCATATTCTTTTAACTTTTCGGCCGTAGTCAACTGGAAACACATAAGAACAGTATTTGTGGTGAAAAACCACTATCTACGCCCTGTGTAACCAAGATTAAAGTTCTGTAACCTACAGATTGATTATAATAAATGAAAATAAATAAA